AGCCATGACTCCTAGCAGAGACGGCCTCGACCAGGACTGGGGGCAGCTGCCCTCAGAGTTGGCGATTAGCTCCTCAAACCCTGACACCAGAAATTAGCTCCTTGAAAGAGCTAGCGATGGAGGCTCAGGATTTAGGCTCAGTCTTAATGTCTAAGTATGGAGGGAGAGAGGAACAGTAAAATTGTAAACAGATGGGCTTGATAGGAGGAAAACTGCTTTCCAAAGGAGAAAAACGTTGCTCGTAAATGACCTTACAGTCTTATAAAACCCAGGGAGCCAAAATTTATCAGGGTTCGGTTCAAATCGGTCTTACAAATTTTCAGCGCCCCCATTTCGTTCACCAACTCCCCGTCCAGGATAAGAAATTTTGTACCATGGGATGCAATTCTCCGACAAATACGGATGTCAGGAACTGACTGGTATGCGGTTGGACTGTTAGATAGAATTTTATTTAACTACGCATACAAATCAAATTGTGTTTTCTTTAAGTGGCTACCAACTCCCACTGATTTGCAGCTAGAGTTTAAGCTATAAAATAAATGGTCTTATATAGGAAAAAGAAAGTAATAGGCAAAATATATATATGAGAATTTCAGTGGTCAACGTGTTGAGTTTCAATGTTTATAAGATTTTTTAAAGCATTACTTATAGATAATTAAGAAATTAATTTATTCATTCCACTAATGTTTAAGTGCCCTTGGTCTAGGCACTGGGGATCCAAAGTAAACAAAAAAGAGCTAACTTTCTATATGAGGAGACAGTAAATAAGTAAACAAGGTAATTTCAGACTAGTATTCTGAATGAGAACTAAGCAATGACATGATGGAGTGGGGAAGGTCTCCCCGAGGAGGTGACATTTGAGGTGCTCAGGTTAAGATTCATTCAAAGTTGCTCTATATATTGCCCAAACTCCAGAAGTTACTGGGCAATACAGGCTCAAAATAGCAGGACTATATCACCTATAAACTTAAGATAATCCTCTGGACTCTGGCGCCAAACACTGAAAGATTTCTAATAAGTCAAAATGAGCTATGTATATTTTTTCTCACAAATTGTGAACATGGAATGAAATTTTTGTAAACAGAAAAATGAAATCAACGCAGTTTTTTTAAAATGAGAAAATGCACATCCTATAAATCAATTAATCAAGCATTTTGGGAAGTTTTGTTTTATTTTTATAATAGCAAGTTACACCAAATAAGTGCAAGTGGAAACAGCCTCAAGCCTGTCTGTATAGGACCGAAGACACTGAGGACTCATGGCTGGTCCATGGCTGGCACAGAGAAGAGTAGTTTCAGGTCCCCTCAGAAGATAAGTTTCTAAATACAATAACCTTGTGTGCTTTCATCTTGGGAAAAAGTTACTTCATAGATAATTATAGATATTAATAGTAAGGGAAAGAACATCACTGCTTGCATAAGAGATACTTTGTTTTAGCATTCTCTAATCATGTAATAGCTTAATTTCTGTAGTCTCATTTAGTCTTATACTTGAAAGGTACAGAAAAAACTAAATTTACTTCTATCATTCATCACATTGCCTTTATGTTGCAGCGTAATACTCAAATTACAGAATCAGAGAGCACTGAAATGATACAAGTTTGTCATAAAAGAGGACATATAACTATACTTAATTAGGCAGATTAAATTGAAAATATTTTCAAGTTCAGTAAAGGTATATATTATCTTTTTTTTTTTTTTTCCTTTTACTTAACACTACCTCTTCCCACAAAGAGGCTGAGGTATCTTAAAGTAGCCTCTTTAGGGAGTCAGCAAGGAGGAAATGTGAGAAAGAAAATAATTATTATCTATTCATTAATGTTATATGAATGTGGAACTGTTGAATTAAAAAGATTAGACATAAGTCTTGTACTTTCACTCAGGAGTAGAAGATTCAGCCTCCCCAAAACCCCAACGGCCTGTGGGTCTCTGTCCACCTGCTTCCAATAACATAAAAGACAGGGGCACGCTCTTCTGGTTACCATATATAGGAAAAGGTGGCAATAAAACTGGAATCTTGCTCCCTAAACCACGATGCTAATAAGCACGGCTTCAATTGTGCTAAATTTTCCTGAAACAAATTACATTTTCACTGATAACATCTCAGCACAAGACATTCAGAATCAAGATGATCAAGTAAAACTGTCTGAATAACACTTAGATGGACTCAGGGCCAACTCAGTTTTAAAAACTCTTAAACCAACTGATGCTTTACTGCTATATAGTAAGAGAATGTCAGTGGTTTGAGGCACCAGAAAACATATACATTAATTTATTCAACAAATATTTCTTGAGTCCCTCCAAAGTCTCAGACTGTTCTAGGACACTGAGGATATGATACTAAACAAGAGAGTCCCTACTTTCGGGAACTTAGTTCTTAGTGGGAAAAGGCAAAATAAAGAAGTTTGCAAGTTGTGCTAGGAGCTAGGAAAAGAAATAGTTGATAGCAAGCAACTGGAAGGGGTCAAATTTAGATAGGGTGGTCAGGTAAGGCCTCTCCAAAAATGTGGGATGTGAACTCAGGCCATAGGAAGAAAGCAGTGAAGAACATTCTGGTAGAGAGAAGAAAAAGTACAAAGTCTCCAAGGCAGGAATGGGTTTGACCTATTTGAAGAAGAAAAAGGAGGCCAGAGTAGCTGAGTACACTCTGGGAGGGGGAAGATGTGTCCGATGTAGTTAGAAAGAAATAAGGGGCAAGATTATCTAGAACCTTGTAAGTCATGGGAAGGAGGTTAGATTAAATGTGATGGGAGCTATTGCAGGAGTTTAAAACAGGAGAGGGACATGATCCAATTTATGACTTTAGAAGATTACTCTGGCTGCTCTGTGGAGAAGGGATTATGAAGGAATGAGAATGGAAGCAAAGAACCATATAGGAGGCTACCATGTATTTTAGGTGAGAGCTGATAGTAGCTATTGGGGTTATCTTGGAGATATAGCTAACAGGACTTCTAATGGGAGTGAAGGGAAAAAAAGAAAAAGAGAAGGTTGACTCCTAGGTTTTTGCCTTGAGCAACAAAATGGACGTCATTGCCTGATAGAAAGATCAGGAAAAGCACAGGTTTGAAGAGGGAAATCAAGCATATTAAGTTTGGATATATTAAGTTCGAATTGCCTAATAGACAGCCATGTGGAGATTCTGAGTAGAATATATGGGGAGAAGCCAGGATTGGAGAGAGAAATTTGGAAGGCATCAGCTCATATATAGAATTTAAAATAATGGAATGTATGAGTTTACCTAGAGAGAATGTATATAGACAGAAGGGGGTTCAGGACCAAGACTCAAAAGAGGACAACACTTACAGGTATTGAAGAGAAGGATCCAGCAAAGAAGAATGAGAAAGAATAGTAATAAGACAAGGGAAGAAAATGTCCCAAAAAGGAGGAAGAGGTCAACTGTGTTGAATGTTGCTGAAAATTTAAGTGTCCATTAGATTTGTCAACATGGATATCTTGACAAGAGCAATTTCAATGGAGTCATGTGAGCAAAAGCCTGAATGGAGTAGGTTCCAAAAATAAGGGTAGAGAGGAAGTGGTAAAGCAAGTATCAGACAACTCCTCTGTTTTGCTGAGATAGGGAGAAAAGAAATGATAATTAAGAGGAATTTTCTTTTCTTTTCTTTTCTTTTTTTGAGATGGAAGATACTAGACAATTCTGTGTGCTAATGGATGGTGAAATCAAGCTCCTACTATGTTCCAGGTGCTAAGAATACAATAATGAACAAGACAGGGAGAGCCGTCACCCTTAAAAAACCAACAAGTTATTGCAAATTGTGATAAGTGCTTTTAAGGAATCAAACTATTATCTTCAAAATAAAATAAACTGGCTTGAAATCCTCACCTTGAATTCTATTACACGTATACAAAAGAAGTTCCTTTATATAATGGCACACTTCTATGACAAAAATTCTTTCCACAAATATTTTTCAAACACTTAATATGTTTAATATGTGTCTGGCAGCTGTGCTAGAACCTGGAAATACAATGATGAACAAGATACAGTTCCTTCACTCAAGGAGCTTACAGTCTAAGGAGAAAAAACAGAATGTGACAGGCAATTATAGTACATTGTGAAAAATGCTATGATGTGAGCAAGTACAGGATGCTGTGGGAATATAAACTAAGACAACCAACCTTTTGGGGAAATTAAGGAGAGTTTTCTGAAGGAAGGAATAAATAGGGATTAAAAATAAAAATAAAAGAAGCTAAAGAAAAGAGGGTGTGGGCAGGAAAAGTATGTTTCAGGCAGATGGAGCAGTACATCCAGGGCTTGGCGGCAAGAGAAAATATAAAAATTCAGTGACCTATAATATAATCTAGTGGTAAAATTGAACTGGATTAAGAAAACTATGTAAAATATACTTAATAGACTTTATCCAGAAGGCATTGGAGAGCTATTGAGGGATTTTAAGCAGAATACAGGATGATCAGATGTGCACTTTAGAAAGCTCCTTCTAGATGCATTGTGGAAAACTGAGTATAGGGTACAAGCACAAAGGCTGAAAAATTAGTGAGGAGGCTGTTACACTAACCCAGGCAAGAAAGTATGAGCATGAACTCAGAGAATAGCCATAGGAATGGAGTGGGGTGGAAAACACTGAGGGCTATTTAGGATTCAAAATCAATAGGACTTCATGATTGACTCCCTGTGAAAAGGTAAGAGAAAGGGAGGAGTCATAGATGATGGCCAAATTTCTGGCTCTGGTAACTTGGATAAATGAAGATATCTAACATTGAAACAGATAACAGGAGAAAGAATTGCTTCAAGGGGGAAGATAAATTCAGTTTAGGATATATTGAGTATGAGATACCATGAGAACCCCTGTAGCGATAACAAGTAGGCATTTGGCTACACAGATCTAGAACTCTAGAAAGGTCTTGGTTGAGTCCATGAGCCAGGTTGTTCTATGTTGCACATGATAGAAAATCCAAACTAAACTAGCATAAGCAAAAAAAGAAATTGATTAGCTCTCATAACTGGACCTAAAGTAGATGGACAGTTCAGGCACAACTGCATCCAGGGACTGCAACAATGATATCAAGAATCCAGTTTCTCCATCCCAGCTCTAATTTCTCTCTGTGAACTCCATTCCCACGCAGGGCCTCCATTTGTGGACACAAGATGGCTGCCAGCAGCTTTCCTTTCAGGTAAAATCCTTTCAGGTAAAAATCCAAGAGAAAAAGGAAAAAGTCTGTATCCCAGCATTCCAAGAAAAAGCTCTAAGATTTTAATCTGATAGGATCATTTTAGGCCTTGGACCCATTCCTGAGCCAGTCACTGTGCCAGACTTGGGAGGGCTGTGTTTATTGACTTAAGCCATTAAAGGCCACCCCTGGAACTAAGGGTGGGATCAATCCCACCTAAATCATATGGCTTGGAAATTCAAAATCCAATTAGGATGGAGGTAGAAGGGAAAAGAAATACAACGATGGAGAAGATGTAGTTCCTTCTCTCAAGAAGCTTATAGTCTATGAAGCAAAAACAGAATTTGACAGGCAATTGTAGTACATCGTGATAAATGCTATAATGTGGGCAAGTACAGGATGCTGTGGGAATTCAAGGAAAACAATGAACCTTTTGGGAGACAGATGCAGACAGTCACTGCACATGTCCACTACCAATATCCATGGCAGTTAGAGATAAAGATTTGGGGTCAACTTCACAGAGATGGTAACTGAAGCCAGTGGTAGATGAGATCACCCAGGGAGACTGTGTAACATGGGAGGAGGCCCTAGATTAGAACCCCGGGGAAACACCAAAATTTAAAGACTGGACAGAGGAAAACGAGCCTTCAGAAGAAATGGGAGAGAAAGAGCTAGAGATGAGATGAAAACCTGGAGAGCAATGTTTCAAAGAAGTCAGAGGTTGGGTAAGATGAGAACTAAAAAATACTCCTTAGATTAGCATCAAGGAGGTTGCTGGTAGCCTTGAGGGGACCAGTATTAGTGGAGAACCAGAGCTGAAGCCAGATACTATGTGTGCTAGGGGGAGGGGAAGAGGGAGGAAGGGCTGAGGAGTGAAGGATCACTGAGAAAGCAGAAAGCATTCTTTTCAGGAAACATGGACGTAAACTGGTGAAGAATGGGTAGGTAGAGGAACAGATGGAATCAAGAAAGCATTTAAGGTGTAAGATGATACACCATTTTAAATTGCAGGTTAGAAAGCAACTGTAGAGCAGGAGAGGTTGAAGATAATTTTTATCTGGAAAATCTGGGCATCACATCCTTCATATAAAAACATATGCTATATACACAATATGAGATAAAGAGGCTGTTCATAACTGAACAAACCATGATGAATTATACCTTGGAGAGATGGAAAAAACACTCCAATTAAAAATTTTAAAATGGAAATGACATCATGCCTGGACTTTCATGCATTTTTAACCGGATTTTCTGGGTACTTATAACCTGAGATTATTTTTTTTCGCGAAGTATAATTTGAAAATATAATTTTAAATGCTTCAAAATGAAATTTAATTAGTTATACGCTGAAGTAAAGGGTTCCAACAGTGCCATTGTTAACCTTTTTTAGATCACAGACCACTTTGAAAATGATGAAAACTATAGAGACCCTCTCCCCAGAAAGAGATGAACTCCTTTTTTATTCTTTTTTTTTTTTTTTTTTTGCTAAGGAAGATTTGCCCTGAGCTAACGTCTGTTGCCAGTCTTCCTCTATTTTGTATGTGAGCCACTGTCACAGCATGGCCACTGATAGAGGAGTGGTGTAGGTCTGCGCCCAGGAACCTAACCCGAGTCACCAAAGCAGAGCATGCCAAACTTAACCACTAGGCCACAAGGGCTGGCCCATTAACTCCTGTTTTGATGCTCTTCCAGGGAGGTTCACTGAAAGACCTCTGAGGCCTACCCACAGATATAAAGTTAAGAATATATAACTTGAACACGCCAACAGGAATTTTCTTTGGACTTCTCATGTCTGCCAGACAGCAAGCAGGCTTATTCTTTCCTTCCTCTTAATCATAATTGGAGTTATGTCCTCCACTCCTAAGCCTTGAATGCCAATTGCATCTTCTTCCTCCCTCCCACCTTTCCCTGTGCTCTAGCCAATAAAACAAAAATACTGGACTCAAATAGTCCTGCCTTCAAATCTTGGCTCTGTCACTTTCTAAATTACATCAGCCTGACCAAGTATTTACCTCTCTGAGCTAGTTATATTTTCGTTATCAGCAATGTGAAACTATCAAATGTTTATTTCCTTCAGCCCCACTAGGCTCAGTCTAATAATGAGATGTCATTCCTTCTCACAGGAACCTACCACCTGAATGTAAACTATCAAATAATTCGTTCTCATTCTACCCCCTCCCCCTTGGATTATAAACTCTTTGAAGGCAGGGAATAGACCTCCTATTTCATTTCTTCTTCCCCCACTGCTTATCACATTTCTGCTTTTAAAACCACCACAAGATTTGCTGACTTAGTTGAGTACTGATTTAGAATTCAGGTCTAAATTTGGTTCTAGCCTCCATCATTAATGATCTGTTCTATATTTCCTAACAATTTTGCCATATTTCACCTCCAGATGAAAATGTAAAACAGAAATCACAAATAGCTTTGTTAGTGGCTTAAGGCTTTGTCAAATCATTGACAAGAATATCTTCATGAGACTACTATTTTAAAACGAATACTATATGGGTTACAAAACCTCAAATTGTTTTATCGATTTTAGAATTTTCTTTCTTATTTAAGCAGCTTTGAAATTTTTACTCTTACTTACTTTTATGTATAATAACATTTGTAAAACCATCACAGTTAAAATCTCACCAACAGTTATACAACTGTACTATGTTCACTGACAACACGATTGCTGCTTTTTAGGAAGGGCACTGTTGGGATGCCACAACAAGTTATATTACCAAAAAAGTATTAGCTAAAGAAGGTTGTTGAGGATGAGGTAATATATTAAATACTCAGTGTATGATTGATTGTACATATTATACATTCCCTGCTTCAGCAAATCTTGAGTATAGAGTTTCTTTCAGTCAGACCTGGAATTAGGTCTCTCACTCATGTGGTTTCAATTAAGTTCTGTTAAAAATAGCTCGTAATATAAGCATTTTCATTTTTAGTGCTTCAACAACTTTACTACTTTTAATTCATACAAAGAATAAACTCTGGGAAAAAACAATCAAAGGAAGTTACATAGTACCCTGGTGTTGGCTCTTTATAAATAGCTGAAATCATCTATTTAGTGTACAGTCTTCTAACATAAGCTATTTGTTCTTATTTTACAATACAAATACATATATTTAAGAAGCATACAGAAAAATGTTTCTTTTTTAACTGATTAAAGGTAAATTATAAGAGTTCAATAGAATTTCAACATTAGGAAATTATCACAATCAGAGATTTTTGATTTTTGAATTTCATACAATTCCAGGCAGACATTTTGCTTTATGGACTTTGACTTCACATTCATGTCTTCAAAGTAGTTTAAATTCAGCCACAGCTGCTACATCCTGCCATTTGTTTTTATTATAATATCTGGAGGAAAAAATATAACAATAGATTACTTCATACACATCACAAGCAGGTATCCCATAGTTATTAATAACCTGAAAGAGAGAGCTTTGATGCCCAGGCCACTCTAGTTTACCCCGTCAAGCCTTAGGAAACAATTCCAGAGGCCATTAAAAAAAAAAAAGGAATAGCTGGCTCACTCTTTCCTGGACATGCTGAGGACACTTCTCTTTGGAGACACAAAGAGACCTGCTCAATAACATTCCAGTGGAAAGCCCAGCAAAGACAGCTGTCAGTGGCCATCACAAGGTCTCTAACCCCTACCTTGTAACTTGGAGGAATTGATCCAGTTGTGCTTCTCATCCCTGCCTCCTCAGCCACCACGCAGGCAGAAGCCCCTCACATTTTCCTACCCACTATTCTTCTGCATTCTCCTACTTTTTGTTGTAGCTGAACCCACCACATTCTTCCCAATACAGAATTCTGGGGCCTTTCCCCCCATATCTTGTGCCAGGAGATCCAGAGCAGAGCCAGCTTTACCTATTCCCATTGCCATGTTCTTACTATGATATACTTCACCCCCTGGCCTAATCAGCCTATACCAATGGTTCTCAAAACTTTGTTGTACCTTAGAACTACCTGAGCTTTTAAAAACCGTGATATCCAGGCCATACTCCAAACCAATTAGATCAGAATCTCTGGGCAAGGGATTCAAATATCTAAGAAAGTCTGATGTGCAGCTAAGTTTGAACACCAGATACCTATATCTTTGCTATTCAAACTGTGGCCAATGGACCAGTAACTTCATCATCACCTAGAGTTTATCAGAAATGTAGAATCATAGGCTCCATTCCAGACCTACTGAACCAAAATCTCCATTTCAAAAAAATCCTCAAACAATTCACAAGTACATTAAAGTTTGGGAAGCACTGGCTGTTCTACCCTCTACTCTTCCTTATTGTTGTCTTTACTGACCTCAGACACTGTTCATTTATTAAAGACTTTGGAAACTGGGCCACAGTCATCCTCTGCATAGCAACTTTTGAGTAACTTCCCAAGTTACTCCCAAATCAGGCTCCCCAACTACCTAGTCTCCTCTACCCCTCCTCAGCCTTCATACATCCAGGGCTATGTCCCATATTTTCCCCTGACATCACCTAGAATGCATCATTTCTGAAACTTTATAATACTAGAGACCTAGGAGTCATCCTCTGTCCTTCTATTTCACTACCCTGTACTAGTACCTAATCAGTCACTAAGATGTGGCAATTATATCAATAAACATTTTAGTTTAGACTGGTTCTCAAACCCCAGATTTCCTAAATAAAATCACTGAAGAAGCAATGACCTGGGAATTTGCACTGTTTTTAAATTCCCTAGGCGGTCTGAGCACCACACTTCGAGACACACAGCTCAGATCCTTATTTCCTCAACTTTTTTCATCAGGACTTTTGCAAAACTCCCACCTGATCTTTCTGCTTCCAGGCTCACTTCTTTCCAAATCACCTCCATATTTCTAGCCAGAATGACCTAATTAAAAAGCAATTTGACCAGGATAAAGTCAAAAGTCGGTATGGTATAGGTGGCTCTCCAAGATCTGACCCCTGATTACTACTCAAGACTAAGTAAGGAGAGTCCAATCTCCACTCCAGCCAAACATAACTACTTTCAGTTCCTT